AAGGATAAATTTATAATTTAACCTTCGTAGAATTTTTTTATTCAACGATAGAAGAAATATATTTTTTTTAAAAAATTAAGGATATTTTAATTCAAAACGTCGATATCTAACAATGCCTAAGAGAACGAGTAATCACATTCCCTATAATATACAAAAAAAATCTACTGTTAAAAATAAAAGATTACTGAGAATAAGATTACTAGCCAGCCAACGGGGAATGAGGATTCTATTCCCCGCTAATCATGAATGTCGTGAACCAAACGGCCCTAAGAGGTGTTTGGTTCAAGGATTGTGGGATTCCCATGGGATGGGAATCTCACATTCCCATGTTTGGTTGGCCGGGAATCTCATTCCCGATAATGTTTTATTATGAATAGTAGATTTTTTAGGTATATTATCAAAAATGTCATTACCTCCATTCCCTTAGGTATTGTAATATTACCGGCATTTTGGACTAAAATGCCCTTAAATTTTTATTTTTTTTCCAAAATATTCTTCTTCTGTCATTGAATAATAAAAATTCTACGAAGGTTAAATTATAAATTTATCATTAAATTATTTTAGATTTACAAAAAAAATCTATAATTAAAATTTTATACGAAGTTCAGGGGTTAAATTTTTTTACCTTTTCATTAATATTTTTTATATTTTTAATTTTATAAAATAAATTATATAAATATTATGAATTTAATTTTTTTAAAAAAATATATAAATATTTTATAATTTATAATATTATACAAATATATAATAAAGATAATTTGGTCAAATATATATTCTAATAATCTTTTATTCTTTTAACCAAACACGATAATCTTACATTTATACTAAACCAACCAACCAAACACAAAATATAATAGTATCAGTAATTTTATTACACCGGTAATCTAACCTTCACTTAACGAAACGCGAAGCAATATAAAGTGAGAGAGACAGGGAAAGAGGGATTCCCAAATCTTAGATCTCTCATTGTTTTCTCTCTGAATCCTGAAATCTCATAGCAAAAAGAAATCTGAGAGAATGGTGCAGAAATCGTTGATTTATGCATTTGTATCTCGCGGGGAAGTTATCTTAGCAGAGTACACTGAATTCTCTGGGAATTTCAATTCCATAGCTTTCCAATGCCTTCAAAAGCTTCCTTCTTCCAACAACAAGTTCACTTACAACTGTGATGGCCACACCTTCAATTACCTTGTTGACAATGGCTACAGTTAAGTTCCTCTTCTTCTTTTTCTAGAAATTTAAACCGTGAGTTCCTTGATTTTATTATTCTCGTATTTAGCAAATGAGTTTGATCGTCGGAAAAGTTAGATTTGAGATCTAGAGAGAATGTTTGGGTTTTTTATCCCATTGGATTATTTATGAGAAGATTACTCAGAATGAGAAAAAAAGTAGCAGAAACTGTGTTTCTTGTTTAGTTTAGATTAATTAAATTTATCTCTAGTTATTATGCGTTATAGTGCGCGGACTTAAATTGATTGCGCTGTGTATGAAGCTTTATTATGGAGATCTTTTGGTTTGTTCTTTTGCGGTGTACTGGATTTGCTCAATATGCTGGTTGTTGAAGGCCCAAGTGCAAGTGTATTGAGTCTTGCGTTTTTGGTCTTTTGATGTTCAATTTATCATAAACATGTTTGGTTTGGAATACATCTTGTCTTTATATAAGTATATAATACACTTATGTAATCCACATTCCACATTAAGGTTGAACCAGAAGAAGGGATTCACATGTGGCCTGTCTGGGGGTTAGAGAAGATATCATTAGAAATCTAATTTAAAAATAAGCTAATTTTAGTGATTATGCATTTTGTTTTCTTATTCAATGATGTTGGTAGATTGGCTGACTTTTCAATGTTGCAGCATATTGTGTTGTTGCCGACGAGTCCGCTGGAAGGCAAGTGCCTGTTGCTTTTTTGGAGCGTATCAAGGATGATTTTTTGTCAAATATGGCAGCGGAAAGGCTGCAACAGCTCCTCCCAACAGCCTGAACAAGGAGTTCGGGTATCTGCCTCTGACTAAGATCTTGAATTACTTAATGGATATAGTTTATCTTCTTGCAAAGAGTATAATATTACATGCTTTTAATTGAAGGCCGAAGCTAAAAGAACATATGCAGTACTGCATTGAGCATCCTGAAGAAATAAGCAAGCTTGCTAAGGTTAAAGCTCAGGTTTCAGAAGTCAAGGTGTTTGATGGAGAACATTGAAAAGGTAGATGTGCTTTATTAGATGCACCATGGTTATGATCCTGTTGTTCTTCCAGTTTTTTTTAGATGGGGGAATGATTAGAGTAGATGATATGGTTCTGGTGCTCTGTTTTTACATAGGTTTATGGTTTACCTTTCATTTATTTTTGGCATAATGTCAAAATTAGCCCCCAACGTTTATCAAAATAGTCATATTGCCCCCTATTCTATTTTTTGGAGCATTTCAGCTCCCAACATTTCATTTTATGGCAAAAAAGGCCTCAAACATGTGACAATAATCACTTTGTCCCTTATTCTTTTTTTAAGGCATTTTAGCCCTCAACGTTTCATTTTAGATTAAAAAAAGACTCCTATTTTGGAGCATTAATCGTGTATTAACTAATTTTTTCATTTACAGAGGGAGCTTTTTGCCCCAAAGTGAAACGTCGGGGGTGAAAATGCTCCAAAAAAAAATAGGAGCCAAAATGACCATTTTGGCAAATGTTGGGGGATATTTGTGGCATTATGCCTTTATTTTTAGGCTTCTCTTTGACTGAATAGTCATAGTGACATCTTTACTCACATTGATAATTTTATGATACTTCCTATCTTAAATATTATGTGATGATTATATATATAATTGGCGTGGGATTGATTTTTTAGCAGTTTCAATTATTTGTGGGTTTTGGCAAATGCCAATACTTGCAGTTTTACGATTTTATATTCTAATAAAATATTTGGTAATCAACCAACTTACTTGAAAGTTGAAACATGCTTTTGGGTTTTTTTTTTAACTGAATTTCCTTCCTGTAGGTGTTAGATAGAGGGGAAAAGATTGAGCTACTAGTGGATAAGACTGAGAATCTTCATCACCAGGTCAGTTTCTCTCCCTTCTCTCTCCCTTCATGCATCAATCAGATAACATGCAAAGTTAAACATGCACTTGCATCAACTAGGTTTGTTGTATCTGTTCATAACATGTTAAAAGTTGAGATTTTGCTTGAAGTACTCTGTATAAGTTTGTTATTCTGCCAAAGAAAAACATGTGGAATGATAGAAGTATAAGAAAAGAGACATTCATTTCAGTAAGCATTAAATGTTAGTTTGACATGCTAGAGACGGGGTTTGAAATTTGGACTTGTAGTGTTTTGGTCAGATCATGTTTGTCATGATTGCAGATTCAGCCGATGCTACTGTGGTCCTGGAGGTTAACAAAGTCATGAATTTTATTTTATTTCAAATCTGCACAACTTATTGTAAAATATAACAATGACATTTATAATTCTCGAAACCCTTTTAATAATTTTCCTAAAACATTCATAAAATTTCCCCTAAATACTCCTAAATATGTATATAAGAAAAAGATAATAGGTTCTAGTCTCTCAAAATGAACTCAGCCTGCGCCCTTAAGCTGGCACTGCCTGCCATGCAATCCCCATCCTATCATTCAAGTTTCACCCAAATTCCCAAATGCCCTCAATTCTATATATATTTTTATTTTCATTCAACCATTTTCTCTTCTTCATATTTTCTGTCCACAGCCCAATCAGGCCACATGTCTCCGGCTCTAGTGACCAAGTCCACTCATAGTAACATCTGACAGGCAATTCACTCAAGCATGCTCCTTCTCCAGAGTTTTCTCTGCCTTCAAGCTTCCACATTTAGCTGTCTTTTCAGTCTGCCAAGCTTTAAGCTCAGTCTGCCGATCTTTAAGCTCTCGGGTCTGGTTTCTGTACGGTCTCCCTCCTTTCTTGGCTTTAAGTTTCAAGCCTGCAGCATTTTTCACTTTCTGATTGTGTCCACACCAGAAGTAAGAAGCTGAAAAGATAATTGCACAACTTACCTTTTGAATTTCTGCTTGAGTACAGATTTTTTGATAAAAAATCTGTGTTTGTGATTTGTGTTGTTGCCTAGTGTTGGATATTTCTGAAAGAAAGGTTGTGGTTTCTATGCTCTACTCTGCATCTCTGAGACCTTAGTTTCTTGTTCCAAACTCTTGTTACACTGTTTTTGTAGGGCTATTTGTGCAAAATATTTTCACTGTTTTCTTAGTCTAATCGTGGTGGCAGACGGTCTCGCTACTGAAAAGATGCTGCTATGCTACATTTTTTTAAACCCTTTGCTAGAAAGCAGCAGGATACCTTTTCCAATAAAGGCTCTTGCAAAGATATGTAATTTGAACATGTTTCTGCTGTAGCTACAACATTCGGTTTTTTTTTCTGAAATAATTATTCTTTGCAGGCTCAAGACTTTCGGAACACCGGAACCAAAATACGGAGGAGAATGTGGTTACAGAACATGAAGATCAAGCTGATTGTTCTAGGAATACTGATAGCCTTGATCCTGATCATTGTTCTTTCTGTTTGCCATGGTTTCCACTGTGGAAAATGAGTGCCTTCTTGAATAGGGTTATTAGTTTTTTCAGCAGAGCTTTTATGATAATACCGCGACAAAAATATAAAATTTATATATTGTAAGGACATCTTTGCCAGAAAATGATATAGCAATCACCAGATGTTTGGTTCTAGACTTCTAATTATTATTGAACGCGAACAAACCATATATGTTCTTATTGCATTATATGAAATTTACCTTTGCAACGATTTATCGACACATGAATGTTCCTTTAGGCATTGGACATTTGATATTAAAAAAAATAAGTAGATTTTCTGAAACAGTAAGGTTGCCCTACTTTATGGCCTAGCTGATGTAATAATTTTTTTTAGTATTTATACAAAGGGGCTCCTGGGTTCAAGTCCCAGGGCCAACAAATATACATTTCCAGAGAGAAAAACAGCAGAGATTTAAATCGCGATAATGATGTTATTCGAAATCATTATTGTAAGACGTAGATCGCAATTTAAATCCCTCCGCGTCAATTTAAATCCCTGCCTCAGCCTATAGCTTCTTTTTCCTCCGATGCACCAAAGTCTGTTTCATCTTGAACTTATGCTCAACCTCTGCCTCTTCATCTGTACATTGAGCAAACAAATTATTGGCACTGAAACCATTCATGTGCATTCTTTTATCTCCCTTAACCCAGAATTTCACTCTTATTCTCTCTTTTGACAATTTCCCACAATGATTACAATCTATCTTCTCTTCAAATCCTTCATTTTGATGTCCCAGAACCGAAGTATAATCTTCCCACAAAATTTCCTTACCGACCCTTTTATTGCATTGTTCTAAATTACCCACATCAGGGAGCCCTGGTAACCATTCGGGAATATGTCCACCTCTCCGTAAATTCTCCAGTGAAGCTTTTAAATCTTCGATGGGTTTGGCGAAAGGTATTTCATCCGTGGAGTTGACAAAAGTACACAGATCTTCCAACACCGCCGACTTCAACAAGCAATCGTCGCCATACAGTGTCGCCACACGTTGAAACCCAATTGCAGGGACGCATCCTGGAGGACGTTGTAATATCCAGGAGGTTCGATTTGCCGCGATTGGCGGCGTTCGAGAATGACGCGGCGGACCTGGCGAGGGTTTCCAGGTATTTGGTGGCTACCAGGGTTAGGGTGCGTAGTGCCGTCACCTGGCTACGCCGGAACCCGACCGAGTTGCAGATCTGAGCCACGGCTACTCTGGTTATGTTGAAGGAGAATTCATTTGGATTTGTTGCCTCTTCCTGTTGGGTATTTGATTTTCTCCTGGATTTTGGCTTCGTCATGGCTAAATTGAAAGCGGGACTAAAACCCTAATGGCGTGTTTGGTTCAGGGCATATGGGATTATCAAGGGAATGTAATCATCATTCTCCAGTTTAGTTGGTAAGTAATTTTATTCCCCGGTAATATTTTATTCCTAATAGTAGATTTTTGGGTATATAATCGAGAATATGATTACCCTATTCTCTTAGAGATTGTTGGATTACTTATTTTTAGGGTATCGATACTGAAGAAACAATATCGATACCATATGATATAATTGGATGAAATCTTTAAAGAAGTATCGATACTTAAAAGATGGTATCGGTACTAGTTGAATGGGGTATCGATACCAAGTGTTTAGTATCAATACCATTATTAAGTTATAAATATCGAATGTAAATAGGGTATCGATACCGATGAGGGGTATCGATACCATAAAAGAGTAGTATCGGTACTATAGAGGGATTACTGATACTATTGAGTATAAAATGATAAGTTAAGTGTTTCTTTCAGCTTACGTTTTATTGATGGTTATAACGATTTGAACTTCGATATTTATAGAAGTTGTATAATTGTGTAGATGTTAATCGGAAGCATGTATCTGATGAGTTAACGAGTTGAAATTGAGCAAGAAGGAGATAAGTGCACCACTTGGACTAGTGAGGCTAAGGTGAGTGCGTGTTATTATGTATAGGGTGTTTTATGAAAATAAGACTTGCAAGGAGTCTATTTCCACTATTAGATGGTATGAATCCAAGAATGCAAGTGTAATATTGATATGATTTCTTTGTTAACATGAATACATGCATATGTTTCCATGTTAAGTATGTGATTATTAGCCATGAGAAAATATGTTTATATGATACATTCTATGTGACCATGATATGTGTTAGGTGATATATGTGATTACATGATATTATGATATAACTTATGGGATACTAAACTAATGAAATATGTGAAAATGTGATATGAGCTATGTGATGAGTATCTATGTGTTCATATGTTCATGAGAAGATATGAGAACAATATATAAGCCATATGACATGTGATATGAGATATATGATAAGAAGATATGAGACTCCATGTGAGTATTACATGATATATGTGATAAAAAGTCATGAGTTTATATGCTTATGTGATGTGAATATGTGAATGTGTGATAACATAAATAATAATGCCCATGTTATGCGTTATGAGAACTAGGGGTATAGTTGGCATGCCAAGAGTCGAGGGTTCTACGTGGTCATTCGGGACATATATGTAATCTTTTGGAACATATATGCGATACTTCGGTACACTTATTTGGTCCATTGGAAAATGTATATGGTTCTTAAGGAGTGGTCATTTGGGACATATATGTTATATGTGGTCCTTCGGGACATAATGGTCATTCGGGAAAAATTCTACGCTCCCCTAGTGGGAATTATATGAGCTGTGGTGACAACATATGTGCACAATCTCTATGTACTCACATATATTTAGTTCTTAAATGTGTGCATGGGCTAATAATGAGATAACAACAAATATAATATATGTGATATTTATGCTTTGTGATATGAAATGTGTTGTTTGGTTAAATGAATTATATGATAGTTAAGAAGGTTAAGTATAAGGATAGATAACTAAAATGTATAAATGAATGTAATATTGATTATGAAATGAGGTTATTATAATAATGATAAGATCTGTATATGTGTGCATTTGATTATATGTAACATCCTAAACTATGGGTTAGTGACTAAATTGTAAAACTTCAGAATTTGGTGATTAAAGTGGAATAGTTGAATAGTTCAATGACTTATCTGAAAATAATTTATGAATTATTGTTAGTAATTATTAAATGAAGTAAAGGGCAAATTGGTCATTTGACATGAAATATATTTTTTCCCTTTAATATGAGAGAAACACGTAGGGGGAGAAGTAGCTGGAAAACTCTCTTCTTCTTCGTCTTGTTTTCTTATTCTCCAACGTGAAGCACCCAAGCCAAGGTAAGTTTTCTGATTAGTTGATTATTTGTTGATTTTAAGTATGGGTTTTGATCCTTAGTTAATACTTAAGCTTAAGGAAAGCTTAAGTTGTCTTAAAATCAAAAGATGTAGAAGTTATGAAAGATTAAAGAGAAGAGGCTTTTAAGGGAATTTCTGGAAAAGAGTTAATAAAGGAACTTTAAGATGGAATTTGACTTGTCATAGGTGTAAATAAGAAGTTATAAGTGTTAGAAATAAGTTTGGATTACATGGAAAATTTAGTAAGATTTTTAGTTTTAAGAATCTGAATGATATATGGGAGATAATAAAGTGTTGGAATGATAAAAGTTAATTAAAATGGTTGTAGTTGAGTTTAGTGGTATGAAAGGAGTTTTATATGAGGAAATTCAGTGAAGAGTTGATGAATTTTCGGGTGAAAAAAATGTTTTGGGCAGAGTGTATCGGTACCCTAAGTATGTGTACCGATACCCTCTTGAACGAAAAATCACATAATGCAATAAGAGTACCGATACCTTAAGGAGTGTATTAATACCCCCTAAAGGAAAAAGTGAATATTGATCTATTAAATTCGTTTAAGTTAATAGCATCGAAGTATAAGGTTTAGGCTTCTGATAATTGTCTTGAAAATTATATTTATGTAGATATAGAGCCTAAACGAGTTCCAGAACAATTGAAGAATTATGATCGAATCAAAGCAAGCAAGGCTAAGGTGAGTGCAATTTAATTTTTACTTATGTTATTAATCAAACATTGGCTTGCGATGAGCCAGTGACGGAGTTATTATGGTAAGAAGTAACTTCTAAAATGTTATGTGATTCTTATGTATGCATGAGCATATGGAAATGTGAATAGGTGTCATATGTTATTATATGCGATATGTGATACTGAACTATATGAATATATGTAAACAAAATATGACATACGTATATGAACAAATGAGAAATGATATAAGCCATATGAAACGATCTATGTGATTACATGTAATACGTGATTACATGCACTTGTAATACATGTTATATGATATGAGATATATGTTTACACATACATGTGGTATGTGACAGAAGAGAAGGAACAAGTGATATGAACTGTTATAAATGATAATGCCCATGTTTTGTGATATGAGAGCTAGTGGTATAGTTGGCATGGCAAGAGTCGAGGGTTACCTATGTCTTTCGGGACATATGGACAGGATTACCTATGTCTTTCGGGACATATGGACAATTACCTATGTTCTTCAAAACATATGGATAGGTCATTCGGGACACATATTTCACATGCCACTCAATGAACCTTATACGAGTTGTGGTGACAACATAGTGCACAACATCTATGTACTCACATACCTTAAGTTCTCAACAGTATACATGGGCTTTAAAGATAATAAAGAACTTGTATGATATGATGTTTGTTACTTTGTGAAATGGTGTTTGTGATATATGATGTGCATAAATGATAAGTTTAGGATCATAGGATAATAAAAATGAAGATCATAATATAATTACATAGGTGTATTTGTTATATGAGATGATATGTGTTTGTATATGATATGAGATTGGTAATGGTTTATGTATTGGTGTGATTTAGAGTTTACATTATATGCTGATATGGTATAAAAATAAATTAGTGATGATAAAATAAGTAATGATAAGTATGTCAATGATGGGATTAAGTATGTATATATGTACGATGTTATGTTACATGATATGTGCATGTGTGTATATGTTACAGGAAAGAATATATGCTTTGGTATGACATGGTAGTATTAAATGTTCATGCATTGTAGAAGTTACAGTTATATCATAATTTTATTTATGCCTCACTAAGTCAACGATTTAGCGTGTGATTGTTTCACACGTAGGTTCCGAGAAGAGGAAAATTGATAAAAGTTATCCAATACATGTCAGTTTCTCCTTTCCAAAGATCATATCAGAAAACAATTGAATAGTTTGTATTTTGTAATACTAATTGTGGTTGGCATGTAAATAAATATTTGAATATGATATGTTCTAATCGGTTTTGTAAAATCATATGATTGAGTTTTGTAAAGGTTTAAACGTATTCATGTAAATGATAACTTGATAGTGATGAAAGGTTAAGTTTTTATGAGATTTATATATGTTCGGGCAAAATTACTGTAGCAGGGTATTGATACTCCTGTAGCAGTCAGGAAAATTTTTAGCACCGGTACTGTTCATTTCTGTTCACGGTACTATTTCCACAGTATCAGTACTATTCATATAGTATAGTACTATTCATAAAAACATTTTTATGACTTAAATTTGTTATAACGAAATATAATTCAATAGTATATTATCGTATTTTCTTAATATTAGTAAAAGTTTTAAAATTGTTCACTATTTTGTACAAGTAAATGTTTCGAAATGTCAATGTGACACATCGGATTCGTATCCGGGTCGGGTACGGGTTCGGGGTGTTACATTATATGTAATGTTCTATTGTTTTGTGTGATAGTATTATATGATATGTTCATGCATGGTTAATTAGTTAGAGTTTCCTTTATAAGTTTATGCCTCACTAAGTCATCAACTTAGCGTGTGAGTGTTTCACACGTAGGTTTCGAAGAGATAGAGGAGCAAAGAGAAGCAAGACATGTCAGATTCTCCTTCCCAAAGATCAGATCAGAAAAGCATTTTAAATTATATGTATTTTGTTTTATTGAAAGTAGTTGGCATGTAATTAAAGATGTGAATCAAGTGGGCTCTGATAAGTTTTATAAAACCATATGATTTATATAATATAAGTATTTTTTTTTATAATAAATGTTAAATGAAATTTTTAGTCGCTTTGTAAAAGTAAATGCTTTGAAAAGTCAATGCGACACTTCGGTCTCAGATCCGGATCGAATGCGGGTTGGGGGTGTTACAATCCTATTCCCCAGTAATCTTTTATTTCCACTGGTAATCTTATATTCCGTGAACGAAACGCACCCTAAGGTTTTCATTTTTTATTTTTAAACATATTTAGTAGGTTTCGGCTATTGATTTGGACCATATGTTTAAATAGATTTGGAGGAGGCCTGGATTG